GAGCAGGAGGAAGAGAAATGAGTTTCAGGATTGTTAAGGGTAATGGCCACACTGGTCTCTTGACATGCCTGGCACATATCAAGCACTCCATGCTTTTTTTGGTTTTGTTATTTTCATGTAATCTTTGCGGAAGTTCTTGGGCCAGTGCTGTAATCATTTTATGTCTTTTGTTTAGGACCTGAGACATAGGGACTAGAACTTGCCAAAATTCACATAGTCAGTAAGGAGCAAGTCTGAATGATAGAGCAACAAAAAGAAATTTGGTTGGACCATAAACACATGAACTGATATTCAGATTTACTTAGGGAAACATAAGATAAAACTCCAAGACATTGTGTTTTTAACCTGCAGATTGGCAAAAATCCAAATATTTGTTAATAGGCTTTGTTGAAATGGAAAGACAGACACTATTACAAAATTATGCAGTCCTTATGAAGAGCAAGTGATGATATCTATTAAAATTAGTGCATTTAGCTTTGTACCTTCAGTCTTATTTCTAGGAATTGGTGCTGCATTCATACAAAATTAGGTGTTTATAAAATTATTCTTTACAACGTTTTTGGCAATAGTGAATAAATGGAATTCAACTCAGGTCTATCTATTAGTTGGAAGCGTGTTAAATAAACATCTATTTAATGTATTATTAAACAGCTAGAGGGAGAAAGTAGGCTTTCTGTGTGAGAGACCAGTAACCAGTATATGTACTGTGAAGTGGAAAAAAAGATGCAAAATAATGTCTGTACGCTGTATTGCAGTTAATGTAGGAAACTGGGGGAAAATATACATGTATATGCCTGTATTTTCATAGGTAATACAAGAAGGAGACAGAAGAAACTAAAAAGAGTGGTGATTTAATTTAAGGGAAAGGCAAGATAAAGTAAATAGAATGAAAAATGAACAGAAGTTGAATTTGCCTTATGATCAAGCTGATGTTCTCTTTTTTCCCCTTTAAATGTATATAGTTTAGGTCATAGGCAATGCGTTTCCATGAGTCACATCAAAACAACCTACACTTAAAGACAATTCTTTTTGTTCATCTATTTATTTATTTATTTTAAATTATAATTGTTATAAATGACAATAGAATGCATTTCAGTTCATATTACACATATAGAGCACAATTTTTCATATCTCTGGTTGTATACAAAGTATATTCACACTATTCCTGTCTTCATACATGTACTTAGGGTAATGATGTCCATCTCATTCCACCATCTTTTCTGCCCCTGTGTCCCCTCCCTTCCCCTCACAATTCTTGACCTCATCCCCAGTTCATCCTTCCTCCCTGGTACCACACTCTGTTCCCATCTGGGTAATCACTTTGTTAGGTTTTTATTTATTATTCCAAAGTGTCTTTAGGTAAATATAAATATGTATTTTTTTCCTTTTTAAAATGAAATGTATCTTATTATTATACTTTTCTGAACTTTACTTTTTTCATTAACTTACCAATATATTTTGACAGTTTTTCTATCAATGAATTTAGGTTGTTTTTTTTTT